AGGACAAACATAAACAAGGTTTTGATTTTTAGCGACCTTAAAATGGCATGGTACTACTCTCATACCATGGAGTATTATTCTAAAATGAAAATACTTTCGAAATTCGAAAGTTTGTTCATCTGCTTCTGTGTGGAACTCCATTAAAAGATGTTCCATGAAAAAACCGAACATTTTTATAGGGATCGGTCAGGTCTAAATTTTGTTTTTCGATTTCAACTATCGAATTAGAAAGACCATTAGTTTTTATTCATAAATCCAAATTTTTTCGATCTAAAAATGTTCTAAAAAAATTTTAGCGCGGACTGACTTCTTTACCCTCTGAAGCATCATATATTTTTTTCAAAAATTCACTGTTGTTCGTATTTGGATTTTTTCTCGAAAATGGTTGAGACAACCGTATTCATTCAAGGTTCATATGATGACCCTTGGTATGTTCTACAAAATACTAGCAAATATGAAAAATATTTGTTGTTGCCAAGGGGGAAAGTGCAGGCTCCAAGCACCAAATTATGGCCGATGGTGCTGAAAAGGTGCTGAGGTGCTGAGAAGGTGCTGAGGTGCTGAGAAGGTGCTGAGGTACTGAGAAGGTGCTGAGGTACTGAGAAGGTGCTGAGGTGCTGACGATGGATAGGGATGCAACGGTGACGAAAACCATAGATACGGTTACCAGTCCAACTAAGATAACCATAAATACCATTACCAGTCCAAGCCTGTTTTCACGAAGGAAAGAGTTTTTTAAGAAAATAACGATTCTTTATAAAGGTTGACGAAAGTAAATCAGGGTCGAAGAATCTGAATTTGTAATTAGTCTTTCAATCTGAGTTTTCATTGGTTAGAAAATGGACCAATCAGAAACGAGCTCTTTTATTTTGAGGCTTTTCGATCTTTTGATAAAACTTTACAATAGGTTATCGATATTCAGAAATCCGAATCTGAAGTGAGTTATCATAACTGAGCTTCCATTGGTCAGAAAATGGATCAATCAGAAACGAACTTTTTTATACTAAGACTTTTTGATCTTTTGATAAAACTTTGCAATAGGTTATCGATATCGTGGAATTCGAATCTGAAGTCAGTTATCATATTTGAGCTTTCATTGGTCAGTAAATGGTCCAATCAGAAATGAACATTTTTATATTAAGGCTTTTGAATCTTTTGATAAAACTTTGCAATAGGTTATCGATATCGACCAATTCGAATGTGAAGTCAGCTATCATATGTGAGCTTTCATTGGTCAGTAAATGGACCAATCGGAAATGAGCTTTTTTAAAGTAAGGCTTTTCCATCTTTCGATAAAACTTTGCAATAGGTTATCGATACCGAGGAATTCGAATCTGAAGTCAGTTATTCTGTCTGAGCTTTAATTGGTCAGAAAATGGACCAATCAGAAACGAGCTTTTTTATATTAAGGCTTTTCGACCTTTTGATAAAAATTCGCAATAGGTTATCGATATCGAGGAATTCAAATCTGAAGTTAGTTTTTCGATTACAACTTTCAGTGGTTAGGAAACGGGCCAATCAGAAGTGAGCTTTTTTATATTAAGACTTTTAGATCTTTTGATAAAAACCTTGCAATAGGTTATCGATATCCAGGAGTCGAAATCCGAAGTCATTTTGTCTGTCTAGGCTTTCATTAGTCAGAAAATGGACCAATCGGAAACAAGCTTTTTTTCCCTCCGCTGGAGGGAGGATCATATGAGATAAAATGAGTTTGTGACCTTGCAGTCATTGGGATAGTAGCGCATTCAGACGTATTAGCGTGATTACAGGTTCGATAATCTCAATAACATCAAATATATATGAAGCTCCTTCAGGCAGGCAGTTCAGCCAATTAAATATTTTTGATGTTCGTTATCAGTCTGTCAAGCTTTATTTGTTTCGTATTACCGTCCCTTCAGTCGAGGGAAAAAAGCTCGTTTCTGATTGGTCCATTTTCTGACCAATTAAAGCTCAGATAGAATAACTCACCTCAGATTCGGATTCCTCGATATCGATAACCTATTGCAAAGTTTTATCAAAAGATGGAAAAGCCTTACTTTAAAAAAGCTCATTTCCGATTAGCCCATTTTCTGACCAATAAAAGCTCAGACAGAATAAGTGACTTCAGATTCGAATTGGTCGATATCGATAACCTCCCAGGTCGAAATAGCTATGTCGGATCCTGTCGGATAGGTTTCAAATCCGTTGAGATACGGCTAATCGGATTCGGTCGGTTACTTTTTGTCGGATTCCGATGCTATCCACTGTTTTCCTTTGATATACGCCGATCGGATTCATCGAGCTCCGACTAGATTCATATATTCGGAACTGGTCAGATCCGATGTCAAGATCTGTTCGCTTCCGACGGGATTCCGGGGAATCTGATGTCACGAAATGACCGAATTTTGCGGTTTCAAATGACACCAGATTCCATGATAAAACCGATCAATCACTGATATCGGAACTTGTCGAATCATATAAGAAAACAGAAGTTCCATTGATCGGATAGCATAGATCCGACAGTAATCAGTTACTGGCACATATAGGAAATACTCTGTAAACAATGTACACGATTCGGCAAAATGGCTAGGGCTCTGGAGAAGAAATAATATCATCGCTCTCTTCTTTCCCATTGTCATTCATGTTTTCCTCATATTCCTTGAAAAAATATCGAATAGCGACGAAATCTATACCGTGAATAATCGTCCAATAAACTTTTGCCGTTCAGTTTTACAAATACATATCTCTTATAAAAGCGTTTTCATTAATATTTCAACTAAATTTCTAATATGTTCCCGAGGTTCATCCTATGTTAAATGATTCGTTTCCCTTATACAGTAATATTTTCCACGTAACCGGATTCATGAAAAAGAATATATTCTGATGGATCAATCAGCTAATCATCTAATAAGATATTCCTCTTTTTACAAATTTCCAACATCAAAATCAAAAATCTGAAAATCCGATTTCGCCCAGATTTCATTGACCGTTTTGTTTTACAGATATCTATCTATATAAGGAAGTCTCTACTTTAATATTTCGAATGAATTTCCAAAGTGTTGTTCAGATTAATTTTACTTCAAATGATTTGTTTTCCTTATACAATTATGTTTTCCACGCAATTGGATTCATGAATTAGAATATATTCTGACAGATCAATCAACTAATTAATTAATTTATTAGATATTCCTATTTTTACAAAATTCCAACAACAAAATCAAAAATCTGGCAAGAGGGCTGCGCGAATACAAGTACAAATTGTACTCTGCCTAGAATACAGCACTGTAACCGAGAATCCAAAAAATTTCGATAGCCATATGATCCTAATCCGCTATCATGACTTGCCAAAAAACGTAGAGTTTCAAAGACCTCTACTATCATGTACTTTCCTCTATCTCTATCTACTCGGAACAAACCTAGAATTTGCAGAATTTGTCTCC